CGTGGCCGTGCCCCTGCTCAGCAGCGGCGGGCAGGTGGCTGTGCTCGAGGTGAGGGCCCCGGCACAGCCAGGGCACCGGGTCCCCGTCCGGCTCGGTCGTCTGAGCACACCCCCGGTACCGGCCGCCCGCGTCCGTGAGCCCTCCCGATGGCGCCAGCCGGGGTGCGCTGTTCCCCCATTGACAGACGGGAGCCGTGAGGCCCAGAGAGCCTCGGTGACCTGCCGGGTCACTCAGCTGTGTAAGTGGCAGAGCCGGCCTGTGCCCACTCCAGCACCCCGCGCTGCCCCTTCACTCTCTGGGCCACGGCTGGCACGAGGCGCTGCTGCAGGGAGCTGGCACCACGGGCTGCAGGGGCGGGGGCTGGGCACGCCGCTCACCCGTGGGCCATGGGAGGCGGGCTGGGCCATGGTCCTGACGGGCCTGGGGGCATCTCCCACAGCTGCGGAAACCTGGCCGCCTGCCTGACACGGCGCTGCCCACGCTGCAGAATGGGGCGGCCGTGACCGACCTGGCCTGGGACCCTTTTGACCCTCACCGCCTGGCCGTGGGTGAGAGGCCTGGGCGCTGGGCCCAGGGAGGGTCCGCAGCCCTGAATGCGGGGCGGGGGGCTTGGGGGCCTTGAGCCCCCCCCACTGTAGCCGTCCGGTCTCTGCAGCCGGGGAGGACGCCAGGATCCGACTGTGGCGGGTGCCCCCCGGGGGCCTGAAGGAGGTGCTCACCACCCCTGAGGCCGAGCTCACAGGTCAGGTGGGCCCGTGAGGGCGGGGTGCGGGCAGGCTGGGGCGTGGCGGCGGCCTCACCCCCGCCCTCCTCAGGCCACGCGGAGAAGATCTACGCTCTGCGCTTCCACCCGCTGGCGGCCGACGTGCTGGCCTCCTCGTCCTACGACCTCACCGTGCGCGTCTGGGACCTGCGGGCAGGGGCTGAGCGGCTGAGGCTGGAGGGCCACCGGGACCAGGTGGGACCCCTCCTGGGGCAGGCGCTCGGCCACCAGGCCAGAGCCTGCCGCTCACGTTCCCCCTTGCCCCCAGATCTTCAGCATGGCCTGGAGTCCTGATGGGCAGCAGCTGGCCACTGTCTGCAAGGACGGGCGCTTGCGGGTCTATGCGCCGCGCTCGGGCCCTGAGCCCCTGCAGGTGAGCCACGTGGGCCGGAGTGGCCCTGGGGCCCGGTCAGGAGGCCTGGCTGCGCCTCATGTGCTGCACCCCAACAGGAAGGCCCAGGGCCTGAGGGGGCCCGCGGAGCCCGTGTTGTCTGGGTGTGTGGTGGTCACTGTCTGCTGGTGTCCGGCTTTGACAGGTGAGGACTCGGGGCCCGCGTTCCCCTTCCCTGGGCGGCACAGCCATCATGTCCCCTTCCCCAGACACCTGTCGAGCAAGCCTCACTAACTTGGGGGAGGGCTGGGCGAGTAGGGAGGGGGCGGCTGGGATGGAGAGTGAGTCAACCAGGGGCCAGGAGGACGGGCCCCCTGCGGTGGGGAGCAGGGAAGCCCAGAAACAGGACAAGCCTTTGGGGGCCGTCAGGGAGGGCCTCCCCGGGGAGGCGCCGCCGAGCTGGGTCGCACGGGCCTTTAGGGCTGAGTGGACAGCCAGCGAGCCAGCGTGCTGGTCGGAGCAGCGCAGGGGTGAGAAGCAGGACGTGGGTGCGGTGCCCAGGCTGGTGGGCCGCAGCCGCCACGGGGCAGTGTGGGGCCAGGCGGGGTGCCCCAGGGAGGAGGTGGCAGCTTCAGCCCGGCCAGCTCTGGACCAGCAGGAGGCCGCAGGCGTCCCCTCTTAGCCTGAGGCCCTCGGTCCTTCAGCCCCGCGCGGCTGGGGTCCTCGGAGCTGTCGCTGCCCGGGCCCCGAGACCTCAGGGTGTGCCTCCCCACCCTCTTGCAGCCGAAGCGAGCGCCAGCTGCTCCTCTTCTCAGCGAAGGAGCTGGCAGGGGGCCCCTTGGCAGTGCTGGGCCTCGACGTGGCTCCCTCCACCCTGCTGCCCAGCTACGACCCTGACACCGGCCTGGTGCTACTCACGGGCAAGGTGGGCTGGGAGGCGCAGGTCGGGTGGCGCGGGTGAGAGGCGGCGGGGGGAGGCAGCTCTAGCTGGCACCGCACCTCACCTCCGTCTGCCGGCCCCACCAGGGCGATACCCGCGTGTTCCTGTATGAGCTGCTCCCCGAGACCCCTTTTTTCCTGGAGTGCAACAGCTTCACGTCGCCAGAGCCCCACAAGGTGAGTGGGGTGCTCCCTGGTCCCCCTGCCCTGGGTGCCACCGCAGAGCTCCTCCGCCCTCTCGTGGCCAACGGGGGAAGCGCAGGGGCCTGCTGGGCTGGTGGGTCTGGCGCGTGTGTGAGCGTGTGTG